TACCCCACCGCACTCACTCATCCCCCTCTCTTACTCCACCGCACTCACTCATCCCCCTCTCTTACTCCACCGCACTCACTCATCCCCCTCTCTTACTCCACCGCACTCACTCATCCCCCTCTCTTACTCCACCGCACTCACTCATCTCCCTCTCTCACTCCATTCATCCTCCTCACTCACTCCATTCATCCTCCTCACTCACTCCATTCATCCTCCTCACTCACTCCATTCATCCTCCTCACTCACTCCATTCATCCTCCTCACTCACCTTTTTTGTCTTCCTACGCAGGCGGTGCCCTCTGTACCAGCCTAAGAAATCAGAGGAAACACTCATCATTAATGAGCGGTGGGGGGGCAGCAATCTGTGAAGAAGCTGGACCATTAGAGCCCTTTAAAGTCATTATTTACATATGGCTGGAAAATGCCTATTGTTCCACATGGCTGGATGGTGGGGGGGGGCACTGAAAAATTTTCATTATATGCAGTTAATTAACTTCATTTGATCAGCGACCTTGTCGAGGGAGGATATCCAATAAGGGCGGCCACTGCATAACCGGCCATCCAGATCACTGCCGTGCTAAATATGGAGTATGAGCACTAGTTACTTACTGCTGTGATTAATCCAGAAGGGGGGAGTACGTCACAAACGTCACAAACCAAAGTAGCTTCACAGCTACACCCAGCACACAGGCCACAGGTATCAATACCCAATCTATGCCTCCCACCAGTGGCCTTCTGGAATATCGCATGCGGTCCCTTGACGGGATGACGAGAGAGGGGACGTCTCCTCACTCACCTTCATACGTCTCCAGAATGTGTACGGTGTCCCCAATCTGTAAGGAGAGCTCCTCGGGTCCCTTGGCGTCATAGTTGTAGATTGCTGGTGGGTGATAAGGAGACACGACTGAAACACGGGACAATGATGCAGGTGGTCTTTTAGGGCTATTACCATGGCACCCAATTAGCCTGCCGTGTGCTCATTAGCTTAAAGCTAAGAGTCACACTCCTATCAAACAGGGAAGGGGAAACCTTCATAAGGGGAATGCCAGCTCCGGACAGACCCAGCATGTCCGCAGAGGCCAGAGTAGTCCATTTAACCACAGCTGTTCATACCCAAGGTGGTAAGCTCATGGGTTAGCTGGGCACCCTAAGCAATGGCAGAATGTGCTTTGTGACTCAGAACTTAACTACAATAGACCTCTTTTTGGTTCTTACGTGCATCACGAATGGGAACTGCGCCAATTTAACACCTTGCTCATGGCAGTTTTACTTGCACAACAATGTTCTTAGGGCAGAATGAAAAATGATTGGTTCAGAGAGATGACCAATTAGATTGTAGAGGAGGTGGGTCCGAGTAATCTGATTCGTCGCCTCTGTGAATCAATCATTTTTCATTCTCCTCTCAGAACGTTTGTGCAAGTCAAACTCCCATGAGCTAACACTTTCAGCTGCCGATAAACTGCTTCACCCGTGGGCTGTGGGCTGATTTGTCCACAATGGCAACCCCTCTTACTTTGAGCAGTTGGTGGCATGGGGGGGGTGGGGGTGGGAGCTGCCTGGCAGGACTCATGTGATCTGACTCTCCCACAGCGGAGAAGGAGCCCCCAGCTGGCACACGTCTGACTGATCACGCCCATCCACCTCAGGGTTTTGTTTGGAATCCAAATGACAAACGGCCGGACCCAATCACAAGGGTTTTAGAGGCACCGTTCAGCCAGATGACAGCTGGAGAACCACATGTGCAGCCAGGTGAACTATCAATATATATCAATTTATTTCTAGAAGCTTCTATGGACATGATCTCAGACGCCAATTAAACAACAGCTCTTGTTACTATGGTAGCATTACTCACCTACGCCCACAGTGTGGCGCGCGTGGTCTTGACCGAATTAACCGCCAGTCCAGATGCCACTCAGTAAGTCACATACCTAATAACAGGCACTGGGCACACAGCAGGGGCACCGAGGTGCCAGTGGAAGCAGCAGGTATCCGGGAAGCCAGTGAGACAGCAGCCTAAACTGACAACCGCACTCAAACATGACCTAATCTCCATCAGAAGCCACCGTCACCCAAGCGATTAAAAATTCATAAAGAAAAGTGCCAGGCCGATCAAATAAAGCCCATTAATCACTCACTGTGGCGTTTCCTCTCAGCCCGGATGTTGTTTCGGTGGCAGAAGCAGAACATCGTCACCTAGTGGACGGCAGCGGGTCTGCACTGTACAGCATAAGTGTTCTAGCTCCGACCAGATTGAGCAAGACACTTAGTAGGTGTAACCTGCTACGCCAGTCCATTCCAGGCAAACGCGCACACACACACACACACACACACACACACACGCGCACGCGCACACGCACACGCACACGCACACGCACACGCACACGCACACACACACGCACACACACGCCCAGTAAGTCGAGTGGGTAATGCACCCATTTCCTGCTTGAAAATTGGGGAGAGTGCCTGGGAGAAAAGCACGTGTTTGTGTGCTGATGTAAGATATGCGTGCATTCATCACAGTTCACAAGAGTCACTCGATACGCACCAAACCAGGCACCAAAGAAATACCAAAAATGGCAATAACACAATGGTCACTCATGACCAAAAAAGGCCCGACTTCACAACAGTATGGGCTTAGCAGTGAAATCTTAATTATCATCTTCCGACACGCGGCCTACACACCAAGTTATTCAGATCAAACTCTTAAAATAAAATTGAAAAGCTTTGTGAGAGCATATCAGCAGCTATTTCATGCATCTAGCAAGCCTATAAAAAAAACACGGCAGCAAAGCAGTGTTCTCCAGGAGAGCTGGCCCTCCTCAGTGCCAGGGATGAACTCCTCACCCAGACGGCTCATCACAAAATCAGAGGCAATAAGATTCCGTCCCTCGGCAACAGAATCCAGTGGCTTGAGATTCATAATTAACCAGAATTGGCCCTGTAGCTTTAGCACTCCTTGGAAAAATCCCTCCTGCTGTCTGTCAGCTAGAGGAGTGAGCTTGTACCTCAGATATTAGAGATTTGAAATGGAATATTAAGAATAATGCTTAAGCGGTGATATATGTAAAACCATTGTATCAGTTTAATGAAAATTCATAACCAAAAAAAAAAAAAGTCTAATACTATCTAAGGCAGCCGGCCGTGACAATCATTTCTTCATTAAAAAGAGGGGAAAAAAAACCCTTTCCAAGAAAATAGTTTGTTTGTTGAAGACAGAGTACATAACATGCAGTTCTCACCCACTTCATACGGCCTGAAATTTAATTATTTCATAACTGTGATTAATTTCCAAGAAATGGCCAAAAACGCTGCATTCCAATCTGATTAACCGTGCTGAAACACTGTAGATTAAACACATCCCGTCTATCTATAGATCACTGCACTGATTAAGGATCTCGGAAATCATACATTTCCTGCACATGTCGGTATAACGGGGTCACCAGCGACAGCAGGCTTTGACTAATGACCACAGAAGAAAGAAGTGGTCCGATGTCCAGGAGCACCGACCAAGCGGCACCGACTCGGCAACCGCAGACAGCTTCAGCAGACAAGCCAAGTGGAGTGGGAGGGACTTCGACGGACAGCGGCAAAAACAGCCATATCTGAACGTGCATGTAAAGGCACGACTGAAAGAGCGCCAAGAATTCAGAGCATCCGTTTCCTGTGCCATGAACATAAACAGCAAACAGAATCCACCAGGCAGGTAAACACAGTGATGGATTGGTGCACGACTCAGCAGGTTAAGATACCTCAGCCACCATCAGAAGGTTGTTGCTTCAAAATCTGAGGTTGCCATAGTGATTTCATCGCTGGGCCCGCTGGCAAGGACCTTTACTCTGTATGTCTCTGGACAAAAGTGTCTATTAAATATGTAAATATGCAAAAGCACGGTAATTCAATATCCACACAGATTTACCGCCAGCCATCAGTATTAGAGGATGGCTTGTAATTGTGGGGGACGTCTTGCAGTAGGGAGACAAATGACACTACATTAGAAGAATTAACAGCAACGTGAGTCATCATTTAGAAATACAAGCAAATGAAGGGCCAGAGTTCATCAGCCACAATAGAATCGGGAAGCTCCTTTTCAAAACCAGGAGGACCAAGAAGTCCTCGGCTCAACTCCTCAGAGATTTACTGAAACACGACCCTCAGAAGAGGAAGTGAGCGGAATACCGTAGAAAGGGCTCCAGAGGAACATTCAGCAGCCTCTGGCATCTGATTGGACACTGACTTGTAGGGGCGTGGCCCATATGGCATGTGCCACAGCTTGCTCACCGCAGTATGAGGACAACAAACAGGAAGCCAGACTGCAGCTCAGCCTTTCCTACCCTGAATCCCAAAGTCCTGTTCGCTTCTGCAACATGCGGCCGTCATCTGATCCAAGGGTAGGCCTCTCATTTTCATGTAGACTGGCTGACTTCAGCAGTGAACAACACGACAGCCCGCTGGACTGTGCTGGGACAGAGATCACATTGGCCCACATTGGCCCACATTGGCCCACATTGGCCCACATTGGCCCACTTGGACTAAGTGCAAACTCTGCTGTGTCAATTCAGCTCGAGTTGACTTCCTACCCTGATAACAGCTTCTGTGAAGGTGGCAGCGGCATGAAGAAACACGCACATTCACCCATGTGACTGTCTGAGCGAGAGCCGGGGCGTCGACCATGTTCTGTCATAACAGAGTCCAATCTACTTTCTGCGCAACTAGACTGGGGGCTCTGGGACGAGGCAGGAATTCTGAGGCAGGATTTATAGGAAGAAAGACGTAAACCACCCGGCATTATTCAGGTGAAGGCAGACAACTGCCGAGACCATCTAGGACAAGGCAGTATGTGCAAACAGGTCCTCACAAGTGCCCTTTATACAGACCAGCTAACGGTTGCTAAGGCAACAGAAGCAAAGTGCTTACAGGAAGATCACAACCCAGCTCACCAACAGAACCACAAAAATGAAGCGCGGCCGTCGAACCCAGCTCCCAGTTAAGGTCTTCCCTCATTGTCCACAAGACCCCCCCCCCCACACCCCAACACAGCAGCAAGCAGAGCACCAGCCCTAAGGCCCCCAGAGAGGACTGTACAGTTACTCAACCCACACAGCAGTGCGGAAGCAGCCCTGCTGGGAAAACAGTATGAGGAACTTATAATTAATTTTGAGTCCTTTTCTAATGGGTTTAATCAGAGGCTTTACAACTGAGATAGAGGTCTGATTATTTTAATTAGGAACAGTACAGGAACAAAAGGGCCACACACACTAAAAGACTGCCATACTGTCTCTCTGAAATCTATTACATATAGCAGGCCCGCCTGTTTGTTTATTCCTAAAGAGTGCAGACAGGGCCACGGCAATTAACCCAAAATTAAACAGGCCACAGCCCCGACGGGACTGTAAGGAGAAGCACCAAAAGGAGACTTCCGGATGGTTCAACAGCACCGGCACATGGCACGCCGGCGTGCTCCGTGGCATGGGCAGTGAGGGCCAGAGCTGATCCAGGATACTAGCATGTTAGAGGTGGGAGACAAGAGGAGGAACAGGGGGAGAAGATAACAGAAGAGGGAGGAGAAAGAGCAAGGGAGCTAGCGGGGCAGAGGGGAAAAAAAAAAGTACGCTGGCAGTGCCTCCCCACTGGGGGGCGACGGAGTGTTTAGATCTTTGCAGAATCTAGTAGGCCATGAGAACAGTGATGCACCCCCCACCCACAAAAGAACACACACGCATGCAGACACTCTAATTCATCAGAAAGTATCTGCTGGAGTCCGGTTTTACCAGCAAATCTCCCGGACAGATGCAGAAAGCTTCACATGAAAAAGGAACCACCAAAGTTTAATGCCCACACATAGATTCATGCGTGTACAGCTTTATGAATGGGAGGGGCGAA